TGGAAAGCTTTAAGTTCTAATAACACATTCCGGATGCACTATTGAAGCATATAACAGCTAGTTTTGATGCAAAGTGATGTAATGAGATTTTTGAACTTTGACTCTTGGTAATATATTTTCGAAGAGAGAAATGGTACGGCAACCTAATTATGCATCTTTTGGGGTTCTTTTCATGATTTTCTTCTACTCTTGTTCCAATTAGTGTAAACTTAAGATGACAATTTCTCACTTCACATTTTATGGTTTGTAATGAGGCCGTGGAGGGCATAACTTCTACGTGGACTATATATGCATTCTTGTTATCTTGTGTGCCGTGTGTGGTGGAATTGACAATTCTTGTATGATGATTACTCATAGTAGATGCCTCAATAGGCGGGTGGATTAGTGCCTTCAGTAAATTTTAGACTGTCAGATTTCGACTTTTTTCATCTATTAATTTAACTTCTAACACTTTTTGTCTTGAAAAAAAATAAAAAAATAAAAAATAAAAATAATGTAAACCAGGAGTTCAATTATTGATTAGTTGCCTTATTCATGTTGTTATAAAAATTTGTTTATAATCAAAGGTGGACCATGAACATTATGTCATGGTTATATTTATATTTATATCCCTGGTCTAATGCAAATTCTTTTTTTTGAAAAGCAGGATCATTAGTTTGGCCCACTTGTTGAATTGTTACTCCAGGTAAATCACATTATTGTGATGTTGAATTTGTGTCCAAACAATGTCATTACCACTGTGTTGTCGCCCACACGAGCTATCTGGTCGTCCAAAAATCCTTACCAATCAGCCGCCCCCTGTGACCACAATGCCTCGTTGACGTTTAGTGAGCCCAGGAGTTGAACCCACTGTGTGGACAACCATGCAAGGCCATGTTCTCGACCACTATTCTCCATTTTCGGACAGCAAACGTAACCCCATTGTGTTATCGTCCACTTATTCCTTGTGGTCGCCCAAAACGTCTTCCTTTATTTATTTATTTATTTATTTATTTTTAAGAGTTTAGTTTCTTAAACCTTGTTTCGAGGGCATACGTGTAAGAGGGAAATGAGACCAACCTTCATTGACGACCTCCAATTGAGCATTTATGTTAGGCTTTGAGAGTATATAATTGGACCTCATTTATCTAATTATTTAACTATTTATTCATTTATTTTTATTTATTTTCTTTTTCTTTCTTTTGTGATCCAAGTCTTGACAGTGAGCAATTCTCCAGATCCCTCATCAGTGCCACAAATCATCCCATGTGTGCGCACAGATCCCCTCATGTGTGCGCATAGATGGCCCCTGCAGTTTGTTGTCTTCACTGGAATGTTGATCTAATCGATAGGATGACCCAAGGGTGTTCACAAATGGTCTAGTAATTTCATTTTGACCCAGACTTCAGTATAATTAATATTTATCTTTGGACATGTTCCTAATCATTAAATGACCCTAATAAATGACAATTTTACCCTTTTTGAGCCCTAAGCCATATTTGACCATGCCAAATGACTATTTTGCCATTGGGGACTCTAGAATCACTATATTGATCGGAAATGATGTGGCCTCGGGTTCGGATAAGGACCCGAGTAGCGATCTAGATCTCCAGATTTGGGTCATTACACGGCTCAAACTATGAGTGGTAATCAGAATATTCGTCGGATTGGAGTAATCATCGTTCCTCCTCTATTTGTGCGTCACCTCTCGCCACCCCAAATTTCCCAAGCTCCATCGTCTCATTTGTAATTTTTTAGCAGTACTTATGATATATTTATACACACACACACGCAATTGGTTGTTACCCTTATTGGGCTCTTCTGGATCTGGTACAGTGGAATCGGCTGTGAGCGATGACGTATCAATGAAGAAGTCGCGTGAACCAAGAAGTGATTGGGATATGGCGGTTGAGAATCCGCAACTGGGTTTCGACGTTGTAGCGAGTGGGGGAGTAAAATAAAGAACAGGGTGGGCGGTGGTGGAAGTGGCGATGGTGGTTGTAGTTGGGGTTGGTGGTGAACAGTGGTGGCAGAGGTAAGTTGTGGTGGCGATGGTAGGATGGAGGAAATAAAGAAGTCAGAGAGAGAAAGTGTAAGTTGGTGAGCTAATTTTGTTTTTTTCCTCAAAGAAGGGCATTTTGGTCATTTAAAGGTTTTAATACTTTAGATCAAGAATAAAATATTGAAGGATAATGTTGACATTTCACTCATTTTTAGGCTTTGTTTGGATACAAAATCTGACCGGGGATGTCATTGTTCAAAAAAGAACTATCTTTCATCTAGTTGTCAATAGGGTAAACCTTAAAGGGTGTGAGTGTAATTAATCCAAAAAGATAGTAATGCCCTTATATTAGAATAGTATATTATATTGCATTTTATATAAAGGAAGTGCAAAATTGTCATTTTATAAAATTTAGTGAGCAAGTCTGCCAAAAAAACTGCTAACGGTGCCATTGAACATATGTGCCAAATTTTAGAAGAGATCAAAGTAATAAACATTAAACGATTTACTTGTATTTAATTTACCCAAACCGCAAAGGGAGATCAATATAATTTACCCTTTACAAAAAGGCTCATTTGTTAGTGGCAATGAATTAAAATTCATTATGACATTTACAAATGAAGAAAAACGAATGTTATAACTTACCATAGCCTAATGTCACGGACTTGAACCTTTTCAAGCTCCCGTGCGGCCTTAGACACTTTCAAGCCCCCTTGAAGCGCTAAGTCAGCCTACCCGAGTGTGCTAGCTTAGTGAAGACTAAGGCTAAACAAGTGTTTTGCTTACTTGGGTGTGTAGAAAGAGGTTAGGCAAGTGAGCAAGAGAGTTTGGAAATGTATAGAACTTGTATTGCTTGAGAGGAGAGATTACAACTTGGTTGTTTGGTGAGGAGTAAATGAACTCTCACCTCCTATTTATAGGCCTTTGGCCTTACAAGAATATTCTAGATGTGTACAAATGTGTGGCCTAGATTTAGTGTCTAGAATCCTCCAGAAATATCTGCACAACTCTAGAACTATCTACTATGTACAAGACAAGTCTAGAGAATTCTATACAATTCTAGACAAGTCTAGAAAAAGCTAGACAACTCCACACTAATCTAGAGAATTCCGGAAAGTTCCATACTTGTGTAGAGAAGTCTAGAAAGCTCCAGTCTATGCAGGCTCCATGTCATCGTTTGCTGGGCGTCTGCGTGGCGCCTGCGTGGCATAGCCTCTTGGTAGCGGGGTGTGACACTAAGTTCTATTGTAAAGTCACGAGAAAGATTTTTATAGAAGAAAATGGTTCAAATGTGATTACATTCATTTCTATTTCTATTATTATTATTATTATTATTTTTTATTTTATTTATTTATTTTTTACAATACTTGTCTACTCACTGGTGAATAGAAATTTTATGTTCATCACAGATATTGTACAAAAATAAAATGATACTTATTCTTTCAATATAGACTAATTAATAAATGAAATGGCATGTGTGTTACCGATATTAACTCCTTGATATTAACTCCTTGATATTAAATCCCTCCAACCTACTCAATGGTTAGATGTTGTTAATAGTTAAATGTTTCTTTATCACATACAGCAACATCTTCACACAAGCATACATAAAAATAACACACGTAACATAATATTTTACATGATTCACCCAATTCTTGGGCTACGTCGATGGAGAAAGATTTCACTATTAAGATCAAGGAAGAGAAAACTCCACTCACTCATCCATCATCTCTTTTGAGGCTACATCTCCATACTTAAAAATTACATATATTCTCCGATCTCCCTACAACAGTTACCGTTAAACCCCATCTTTCCCCTTCTATACTCTTTCTCTAATCTCTCACACTATCTCTATTTGTAAATTCTTCAAACTCAATTCGTTGTTATACAAGAATTCTACCAAGGAATTTCATATCAATTATTATAACTCTATAATAGCAGACACCACTTATTTCCCAAATCTTCAACATTTTTTCTAAAGTCTTCAGGCTTCTAAAGCAGATAGGGGTTTTCTAAAGTTTTTGGGCTTTTAAAGCGGATAGAAAATTGTCTCTCATACATATCAGGCAAGTGCAACCGGTTCAACGAAAGTACAACAATTACACTCCTTTAAATCACCATTCTGACCAAGCACATAATCGATTTCAATTTTCTAGAATGAAATTCTTTGATCACCAAAATTTGAGCAACATCTACAATATAAACAAATAAAAAGTAAAAGTTTGAAAGCATATTCGAGTTAAATTTAATAATAAATTGAATCAAAATTAATTTTCAAAAATATATATTTTTTGGTTCTCTCTCACGCAACTCAATCGCGGAAAACACCCGCAAATAAATTTCCCTAACCGTTAACCAACCTTTTTTTTCCCATCAAAGAAAACCCATCTCAGTAAAAAGACTCAAAAGTCAATTGGAAACTGATTTAAAATAAGTTTGATCTAAATTGGACATCATACATTCATGATGAGAACTAAGAGTCGCCATCTCCATTATTTCAAATTTGTTTCGGATTACACTCCATTTTGGCATGCCACAAAGATTTTATTTTGGTGAATGGTGAGGAGATAATAGAGTAATGGTTAAGGAACTATCAATAAGGAGGATAAGAGTTTCGGAACAAATAGAAGTACCGTTGGATTAGTTTTAGGGTTTGGCTAAGATATGGTTGAATCCGTTTCTGCAATTTCCTTCCTTTAGTTATGTTCTTTCAAGGAAACCTAAATCGGCTGGTCTCGTTGATTTAAGTAGCAAATTTAATATATATTTTTTAGTCTGCCACTTAAGTTATTAAATATATGACTACAATGTATTTTTTTTTTTTCCCCCCTTAAACCATATACCGCACTGTTTAAGTCAAAAATAATGTTCGAAAGGGGAGACCTCTACCTCCACGGGGCATTACATTTTCGAAATTTAATATAATAATTACAACATTTCCAAAATATGATTACATTCTTCAAATATAATTACAGACATTTCAAGTGAAACCATAATAAAATTTAGTCTACTCGACACATTTGTAAATATAATCACTTCTATGTTTCTATAAATTTTCCCACAATTGTGGTTGCTACACTACCAAGTCATCAAAACACGTTAATTACTAATTCTCCGCTAAAAACAAAATGCTATAATTTCCAAAAGAATTACAAAAAAAAAAAAATTACAAAATATGTGATTTTTCTATTCTACCCTTGAGAAGATCAGCAATTACTCATCTTACCCAAACCGGCTCTTCTGTAATTGTATCCAGCGAGGGCTTTCTCGACCTACATATAGCTAACCTATACATGAACTCCGGCGCCGGAAACCCTTCCACGTCATCCAAATTCAATCTCGACGGACCGACATCACTTTCCGGCGAATCACCAACCGTTGATGCCCCCTTCGCCGCCGCGGCCGCCACTACCGGCAATACTCTCGCCTTGACCCCCGATATCCGCTTTCTCGCGGAGCTCGCCGCCATCAACAACACCGTAACATCGGCTGCGGTGACGACGGAATTGACTCTCTTCATCGGAAACATGATGTAGACTTCGCCTAAATCCAAATCCTCGTCGGCGGCGAGGGCGGAGAATCTCCGGCCGATGTTGAGAGACCTAGAATTGACTATAAAGTAGTTGGGAGACTCGAGCATGACCTCGGCGGCCTTCACGGGTTCCCGGAACTGCCGGACTTCGCCGCCGGGAAGGATCACTCTAGATACTTTGGAGCTTTTCATTTTAGGGGAGATGAAACTGCACGACATGGAGACAAAATTCCCCATTTTAGAGAGAGAAAGAGAGAATTTGGTTTTTAGAGAGAGAGAGAGAGAGAATTTGGTATAGAATAGTTAGGAGCTTTGAAGGGGAAGAGTAGTGGTCTTATAAAGGAATTAAACGAAAAGTGGTCACTATACAAATGTGTGTGTGTGTATTATATGAGATGTGTGTGTGTATTATATGAGAGAGAGAGAGAGAGAGAGAGAGAGAGAGATATTTTATGATATTTTGTGTATATTATATAGAATGATGTATATAATACATGGGAAATTGAGCAAAATCATTAATTATATCAAAATAAAGTAAAGATAAGATTTATCTTATGAATCAAAAATAATTCTCAACCAATCAAACACCTCAAATGAAAAAGTAGAAAACTGAATTTCCATCTAAATATAAGATTTTGAAAATAAACTCAAAATGTGTCCCACCTACTTCATAGTCAAAATAATCTAAATATAGGGATTAGTGTGTTGATTTTATCATTTCATGTTTTCAAAAATTACAACTCTAATTCCATTATCCATAAAAAAAATGTCATTAAATAGGCTAAAGTACTTTTTAAAAAAAAAATATTCCTACTTTACCCTCATTGCATTAAAATAATAAAAGAAAGGATCCAGGGGCAGATCTAGAAATTCATATGGGGCAAATTTATATAGAGGGATTTTTTTTCATAATTTTAGTGGGAAAATTTTTTTAAATTTTATAAATATAAATATAAAAAAAATACAAATTTAGGGATATAAAATGAAATAACAAAAAATTTCAGGGGGGCATCCGTCCCACTGAGCCTATAGTAAATCCGTGCATGTGCGAATCCACGGTAAAATGGGGGTATATTTGAAAACCCATTTCCTATCACAGTAGTATCACTATAATTAAAAAAAAAAAAAATTTTAATTAAACTCTTAAAAAAGTTAGGTTCTAAAAAAAGGATATTTCTTGCGACAGGGAATACCATTTATTGATAATTATCACAAAATTTACTTAAATTAAACCATTTAATGATTAGATGGGCTGACCATGAAAACTTAGTGGTGATAAACCTAAATGCTATATCCATCATGTGTGTGTGAACTGAATAAAATATTGCAATTATACATAATTAAATATACATTATTATGAAAAAATATGTGTAGCAGACAATTGTGACTAAATGTGGTAAGCATATGACTTGGCTATGCGCGTCAATTAGGCTATGGATTTGGAAAAGAAGGCGAAGGCTGATATTTCTCTGTCGCGGCACGGACACGGGTACACAGGATACTTCGCTGTTGGTGCGTGTGGGGCCATGGGTTCACGCATTAATGAGGGACCAGTGAGGTCTACAAGTCGGCAACACAGGTCACGAAGCTTCTAGGTTACATGTCTCTATCCAGATGATGATTTGGAGGTTTTTTGGCCCAACTGACAATTTACGTGTAACACTACCACTATCAAATAAAATATATAATAGTGAAATTTCCTTTATTTCAACTCTTCTAGAAGAATAATAAAATATATAATTCAAAATTTTAAATCTATATATCTGTAAATACCACCAGTTGTACTTATTTTCACTCTAATTTTAAGGTGGATGACTTGTGTTTGTTGTCTAAATTTCTTTTTCAAAATTAGGATTCTAATAATTTATTTTATATACACCATTTTCTCAAAACTACAATAAATTACAATTATTATGATTTTTTTTTTTTTTTTTTTTTTTTTTTTGTAACAAATAACTCTCACAATGCTTTTAGAAAAACTTAAATCATATACCTTTTCTTCTAAAAAGGACCATTATATCACATATTATGAAAAATATATATAGTTTAGTTAAAAACATTAATTTCAAAATCTTTAAGTGAATTCTGATTAAAATTCACACATACGATTGTCACATTTCACCAATTGAATACTATAGATATTATGAATGCATGACATTTGAATTCGTTTAACTCCATGAGGCACAATCTAAATGGAAAAAATTACAAATTGAAATAATGCTATGTTTCACATTTTGAGTGCTTAACTGTGATCTTATAAATGCATCAATTTCAAAATCTTATGACTATAAGTGATTATTAAATTTAAAAATTGTACATTATGTCATTCAACTACTTTGCATGGTTGTACAGGTAAGTCTAAAATTTCATGTGCTTTTGTCTTGACAAATTGGTCTATAAAATATATGTATCATATTTAATTAAATTATTTAATTGGTCCAAACTTGATCAACTTAAATTATTTAATTAGTCCAACCCAAATGATTAAATAAAAAGATAATTATTCTTAATAAAATATATTTAGAATAATTATTTTTATGAATTATTATCACAATATAACCGGCCCGACCCTGTTATAATTATGTCATTATCAAGAGAGGACACATGTCATCATCCTATTAATTTAAGAAGTTTATAAATAGAGGCGTGGAGGGAATGAGGAAGGGGTACAGAAATTCAGAGACTCAGAAGTCCAGAATAAAATAAAAAAGCTCTGCTGACATTCATCCCCAACACCCAAGCCTCAGCCTTGAAGAAGAAGAGCAATAAAGCACAACCAAAACCGTGTCGTTCTTCCACAAATTCAACAAATTCTCTTAAGACAAAGAACAATAAGCATATCTAAAGTCGTGCCGTTCTTCCTCAAATTCAACAAAGAATAACAAGCATATCAAAATCATGTCGTTCTTTCCTTGCGATTCAACAAGTTTGAAGAATCACCAAACAACACTATTCGAAATCAAGCTTCTTTAGCCCTTGATCAGAAATCATCGATGGTCTTCCTCAATTACAAATACTTGAAGAAGATTGTCAATAGCACGATTGAAAATTAAGTTCCAGCAACCCTTGGATCCAACCAACAAAGGAGATCGAATCAGAGGACACTTTCTTTCTTTTGTAACGAATATCTCAAAGGATTGTACTCAATTTATTAAAATTTAATAAAATTATTATTTGCCCCATATTTTGTTCTTTAATTTGTAGATACGAAATTTATGTGTAAAGTATATCTTAAAAATAGAGACTTAATGGTAATAATAATTAAGTTATCATGGAACAATTATAAATGTACAAATGAACAATATAAAAGTTTTGTATTACTTATTGTTTTGATTTAATATTTTTTATATTATTATTCAAGTTCGCCCCATTAGATTACATTTCTGGCTTTATCACTTCTCACTTGCTTTTGATGATATGTTAATATCTATTGGGGTAAAGTACAACGACACCCCTTGAGGTTTGCCAAAATGACACATATATACAAGTTAATTATTTTTTGGACAATGACACCCCGTGAAGGTTCAAAAGTGGACAAAGGCACCTTATGCAGCCAACTGGCATGGGAAATTGACTAAATTACCCTTTAACTGTTTAGTGGACCTTTTTAACTTTATAAGTTAATAAATTGGACCAATCTACCCCTCGTGAACAATTTATGCATAAAAAAAAATATCATTATCGACGTTGGATTTCGCTCCATAATCCGTAAACCAACCGCTCTTTGCCATAATCCGTTGTCACCATTGCCAGTTTCTCCATCGCTGAAGTGGATCCGCTAGGCTTTCTTTGGTCTTCCATATGATTGTCATTGTGGGTCTGCTTACGTGTTTGGGTTCAGATCTGAACAAGTTCAGCAGCTTCAACTAAAGCTAGTTTCGCAGTAGACAAGCGCATCGTCGTCACAGCCATCACCGCTGGAATTTCTCACCATCTTTAGCAATTGCAACATACCGTAGTGTCTTGGATCGCCGCTAAAATCCTCTGGGGTTACTATCATCATAGTTTTTGGTTTAGTCACACTGATTAGATCCTTGCTCGCCAGATCTGTCCCCACCGTTCAGTCTTTCTTGAATGTCGTTCAGCCCACCTTATTTGCTAGAGTTGCTGGTCCTTGTAGCCAGAATTGGGGATATTTTCTGGCCATTTATCTCACTGCTGCTACAGGAATCCTTTCCTGTCATCATGCATCATAGTTCAGCCTAACCGTTCAATTTTGCTCGTTGATCAGAAGCTTTCTCGCTAGTTCCGTCCCCATTGTGCAGCCCAATTTACTCGCTGGAATTCTCTCTCGTCGTCGTCCCAATTCGACGCCTTCGTCTTTTATCGCTGCCTCAATCTTCTCTTCGGCCTTAACCTCATTATGTGAAACCTCCCTGTGAGCATACACAATGTCTGCTCCAATCGCCGTGGTCAATTCAACCAAAATGATCTCAGGCTTCCCAACCCTCACCACAAGATCAGACCATTTTGCCTGAAGGTTCTTCCCAATGCCTGACACCGATTCAATCAAGAATGCAACACGGTACAACCCGGTCTTGTTAAACCCGGAAGATGATTTATCGTAGTCTCTAGGGTTGAAGTAGTACAAGGTCAGGACTGACATAGACTCATTGGTGGCCGAGTTGAGGCACTTGTTGTCGTGAACTCGGAGGTTACTGCAGAACCAAACGATGGAAGCTCAACGAACACTGGCAGCATTAGAGTGGTTGTAAAGGCGGCAATGGTTTAAAGAGAGAGGGTTTTGGAGGGGGTTTGCGGAGATGGTGGATTTGAAATTTTTTTTTTTTTTTTTTTTTGGGGGGGGGGGGGGGGGGGGGGACAGAGAGAGATGAGACTTGTGAGGGAATCTTGACCTTTGGATGAGAGGAAAAATGAGATCAGACTTAGGTGGAATGGTGGTTTAATCTAGCGCTAAGTGGCACTAATTTGTGCCGCTAAAATTTCCAGGGGCGATTGCGTCCTTTTAACATGTCTGATATTTTATAATAAATCTGATTTTAATATTAAGGGGCAATTTTGTCTTTTTAGATGATTTAAGGCCTTGTTTGGTTGGAATTTTACAAAGGGGGTGTCATTGTCCACAAAAAACAAGTAACTTGTATATGTGTGTCCTTTTGGCAAACCTCGGGGGGTGTTATTGTACCCTAAAAATTAAATACAATTTTTCCTGCTTAAATTTTAGATGGTCGATCATTGACTTGATCGTTGGAGAACTATTTGTAGGCACCACAATGGTGTCATAAAGGGTCATTCTTTACAAAAAGTAATGTCATTTCGAGTTATGCATAATCACGCATCAACAATTATTATTTAAACTCTTAATACATATATTAAACATTCTAAGTATTAAACATTATGAGATATACTTTACTAACATATATATATATTTTAAGAAGATAACATTGGCTTAATTCATTTTAATAGAAGCAAAAATAGACTTTAAATTGTGTGCAGTTATAGTAACCCTAGCTAATTAAGCGTGTACGTACGAATTTTGGGAAAATACTCTCGTTTGCTGATCAGAGTTGAAAGATATGGTAAAATATGCGTTTTTTCCATCATCCTGTATATAACGCGTTTATTCGTTTTAGTTGCTCTGTTTAATTCATGTTTATACTTTAGGGTAACCTAATTGTTTTTTTTTTTTTTTTTTTAAAAAAACAAAAAAAATTTGTTCACGTTTCTAATGGTGTATTTTTCTCAAACACACATTCTTAACACAAACTATCGTCTTTTGTTTGGTATAGCCCTTGTCTTTCACACCATCAAAATAATACTATTTGTTGTGCAATCTCGGGAAAGGCTGTGACCTCTAAGTTGTTCTACTATCACTCAATTTTTTTTTTAATCTTTTATTATTGTCAATTCAATGCTTAATCTTTAATCAAAGTAATGAAACACACATATATATATATATATTGTGGAACACTATAATTTTGAAGAATCATAAATTTTTATTAATGTTTGTACACATTTATAAATTTTTTGTTTTGTTTTGAGATTTTTTAAATTTTGTTAGTATCTTTATTATTATTATTATTATTATTTTGGAAGTTTGTAAATCACCACATTCATGTTTTAGTAGAATATAAAGATTTTTTCACAAATATCACACCATATACTTATGCATTTATTATAAATATATAGGCTATCAAGGAAAAATGAAAAAAAAAAAAGAAAAGAAAAGAAAAAGAAAAAAGAAAAAAGGATGCATTTTGGGATCATGTTGAATAAAACTCTAACTATTATGAAGGTATTTCAATAGTCAAATCACATTTATCCGGGGTAAAAGGCAGAAATATTGAAATTTGTTCAAAAGTACCCTAAGAGGTTCAAACAGCTGCATATTATTTTTAATTTAGGCAACATAGTTGATTAATTGAAGTATAATTTTTTTCATTAATTTTGTGATGAATTGATCATGTTATGGATCTATGGTTATTGATTAATTAAATCTAGATAGTTTATTTCTATTATGATTATTGTGATAGAGTTAATTGTAATATATTTATTTTATTATTTGTTACTTACTATTCATTGTCTTTACAAATATATGATATAAAAAAATAATAATAATAAGATGTGTATAGCCAAATTTTTGGTCCCGAATTTTTAGTGCATATAATATATTATACATGTACGCATCATGTAGGTGCAAAATTTCTCAAGATCAAATAATAAATAACAAGAATTACTCAAAGAAAAGCGTATAATGCTTGATAATCTTTATTGGAGGTCTAGGCCTCTATTTATATACAAAAAGATGGTAGAATTATGGTAGGACTCGCCTTGCTTGCCCTCCAATTAATTCCATATACAGTTCTTTACTAATTAAGTTATTGCTTTTTACAATTATCACCATATCAGATTTTTCCTTTTGAAGAACTTTCCTTTCTTGTAGGATCCTTCATTTTGTAGGACTCATTTACTCCCATATAGTTTGGGCCAAATATATCTTGGGCAGCCTAGTTTGATTGATGGGCTGGAAGCTTAGTACCAGTGATCTTGGGCTAAATGGAGACTTAATTTGAGCTCGATCCAGATTGGGCTTAGACAATCTATTAAAGGATCGAAAGTATAAATTTGTATTGCGATGACGTGAACAACTCTTACTGGAGGGGAATTTCCCTTCACACTTTGCCCCCAATTCCCTCTTTAATAGGACTACGGCTCTTAATTAAAAGAAAATTGAAGTTACACGGTTGCCAATTTTGCAAGAGGCAGTTCAAGAAGTGTCCATTGTGATTCTATCCCAAGAGCTTCTTCAAGACTTGCTTTTGCTCTCACTGCGTTCATTGAGTTCTTCATTTCATCGTGAAACTAGGTTAGTTTTTCATCTATTTCTTTGATTTCGTATCATGAGCACCTTACCCACTCAGGACCACATAGAAATTGTAGATTTTGAGTCCACAACTTCATCTTCCCCTATTCTCATTAGGGTTCCTCCTCCTAGGGTTTCTGACCCCATTGAATCTATGAACGATTCAGTCAATCAAATGGATGTTTCTCTGCCTCAAGCTAAAGTATCTACTTCCGGGTCAGATACTGTTTTCACCAAAGAGGAGACAAAGGATGATTTTGTTTATTCGGCGTCTCAAGTTCTCCATCAAATCTGTAATGAAGGAATTTGGAATCCTTGAAGGGGTAGAAATTGTTGAATACCGAAAAAAGGCTGATTTTAGTTTTGGCGAGGGCGTCGGAGAGAATGAATTGCTTTTATCGGTTAGGCACCTTAATGCTCTTTGATTTCCTCTTCATCCCTTCTATCACTTAGTCTTCAATAAGTTAGGTCTTGCCCTTCTTCAAGTAAACCCTAACTTTCTTCGAATAGTCTCGGCACTTTTGGTTCGCCGAAGGCTAGAGAGTTTTGACTTGACTCTCGCTGACCTATTGATTACTTACACCATTTCCAGGTATGGGACCGAGCCTAGGCATTTTTATTTTACTTCCTCTCTTTAACAGAGGATATGTATGGACCTTCCTACTTCCGAGAAAAAATGGAAAGAGAGGATGATAATTGTTAAAGGGAATTGGGCTATGTCTCAATCGAGCAAACTCCTAATCCCACGTAAATTTGGGAAGTTAGGTATAGAATGTTTTCCCTCCCTTCATGACAAGTGCTCTGGTTGTTTCCCATGTCAAGTTTTACTCTTTCGCCACACTTATGAATTTATTGATGTTTTTTTAGCAACCTTCCCCTCCTCTGCAGCTAAGAACAGGCTCACCTTTCTCGAAGAATAGGTTTGAAGTGATCCCCCATCTGTTGAGGAGTTACTCTCTTCGTCCAACCTCAAGGAAATCGCCTCCAGTGCTGTAGCAATTGACCTCGTGGACTTAGCACTTCCTTCATTCGACAGTTTCCCTCTGACTGACGAGGAGAAGAAAAGAGCTGAAGCTCTTAAAAAAAAAAGGCAACAGAGGATCAGTCCCTTGCTGTTATCCTTTCCATCGAACATGAGAAGGAGGTTGATGAACCTCCTATGAAGAAGACAAAATAGAACCCTCCTTCAACCAACAAGGGCAAAAATGTCTCCAAGAGCAAACGGAAGAAGGCTAGTGAAGCTGACCCTGAGGAAGAAGTTAGGGCTTATGTCTTAGCAGAGGCTGGAGAACCGTGGATACCTATCTTCTCAAGAGCTGATAAGTTAGTTCTTCATTCCAGATACTCGGTAGTCACTGACCCCTCTGCTGCTTTGGCAGTAGCTCGGGGGATGTGGCTGCCCAAAGATGAAGAAATCATTGGAAACATGGGGCTAGACCAGCTGCTTCCTTCTGCCCCCATTCGTGCTATGGAGGTTTGTACTTTCCCTCTGCTGTGATATTTACTTAACTTTTTTTCACATCATTTACACCATTATTAACTATGCAGAACATGTACCATACTATGGCCCTATGCACCACTGCTGAAGCTCAATCAATATATATCCAAAAAATGGGGAAGGAGCTAGAGGTTATTGGGAAGAAGCTCTCTCACGCGCTCTTAGATGTCAAGATGGCTTATGATGGCAGAGATGTGTATAAAAGCCAACTTGCATCTGCTGAGGTTAAGGTGAAAGAGCTAGAGGCGGAAAACCTGCGGTGGAGGGATGCGGTCAATACTTGCACAACTGCTGGAAAGCAGATGCAGGAACGCTATTCTTCCTTAGTGCGCTTGTCAAGTGCAAAGGCCTTTCGGTTCGGCTTCAACCAAGGGTCAGGTGATAAACAGAAAGATCCTGAGGCTTTTAATGCTGATATGAGGGTGTTTTTCCCTTATGATGAAGGTCCGAAGGCTCAAGAGGCTGAGGTGTTGTTCGCCAAGATGGTGAAGTCTCATTAAGGGGATCCTCCAGCATCAAGCTCTTTAGTTTTAGCAGTTCCAAGCCCTTCAGTACCTCTAGCTTCAAGCCCAAACATGGTGGATGCTTTCGACTCTGCTCCTTTTGACCCCAAAAGGAAGTGAATCTATGTACTTACTTCATATTTTGTTTGTGCAAACAATGTGTGTAATAACTTTGATTTTTAACTTTTTAGAAAATCTGCATACTTTCTAGTACTTCAAAATTGCATATTTGTGCTAAACAGCTTTCATGTCTTTGAGAAAAATTTGTTTTGTTTTGTTTTGTTTTGTTTTGTTTTTTTTTTTTTTAAGCTTCTGACTCCTCATAGTCCGAAGCAAAAATAGAGATGATAGTAAGAAGGGAACTCTTATGACAGTTCAGCTATTAGCTAGAGATGGTTGTACCATTTAGCGATTTAACCATCAAAGGAACCCTTCTTGCCCTTGACCTTGTGTGAAACAAGTATATCAACACTTGTTTTTCCTTGTATTTTTTCAATGTGGGACAAATTACTTACTTGTCTTAGAAGAATGTTTTGATGTCTTTGGACTCATGAGATCCGAGATATGTGTTTAACTGGTACCCTCAGACGCCTGAGGTCCAGAGTGTGTGTCTCCTCGGCCTTTACACGTGCCTTCGAGGAATCTTATTGATGCCTTTGAATTCTCAACTTTTGGTGTATATGTTGCATTCATATCATCATGATCCGAGGATTTTGAAAATGATAGGCTCAAGAAAGAGGGTCCCTTGATAGTTAGGTCTCTGACTGATTAATTTCGCTTGAAGACCTATTTATCAAAGGACACCTTTCTTGGCGACCAACAATTATGAGATTGCACCATATATAGCACTCTTGGTTTTCATTTGATTTCGATGTGGGACAAGCTTTTAATGGGCCTCACCTTATTGGGCCCAGTATGATGGTTGTGAGTGTGACATCCATAAAGAATATTTGCTCCCACTTGGGTTTAGAGCCATTGACGTAACTTTAGACTCTTAACATCCGAAGTAGTTAGTTCCTTGAGTATGATTTTGAGGAATACTTTAATGACTTCAAACACTTAGGGTCCAAGTTGTGTAGTTCCTCAGCTATGAACCTGAGAGGAATTGTATCGTACCGGACCCTTAAGGTCCGAATCATGTAGTTCCTCGGCTATGAGCTTGAGAGGAATTGAATCATACCAGACTCTTAAGGTCCGAAGCATGTAAGTCCTCGGCAATGAGCCCGAGAGGAATTGTATTATACCGGACACTTATGGTCTGAAGCATGTAATTCCTCGGCTATGAGCATGAGAGGAATTGAATTGTACCAGACACTTATGGTCTAAAACATGTAATTCCTCAGCTATGAGCCTAAGAGGAATTGAATCGTACCAAACTCTTGAGGTCCGAAGCATGTAATTCCTCGGCTATGTGCCTGAGAGGAATTAAATCATACCGGACTCTTGAGGTCCGAAGCATGTAATTCCTCGACAATGAGCCCAAGAGGAATTATATTGTACCGGACACTTATGATCCGAAGCATGTAATTTCTCAGCAATGAGCCTGAGAGGAATTTTGTTGATACCTTCGGACTCGTGGGTCCAAGGATTCAAAGAGAATGTCTTCGAACTCATGGATCCGAGGACTCAAAAATAAGATAAGGCTAAGGAAAAGAGTGACAGTGACTTAGCTGGATTCCCAAACATTTGGTTGGGATCCTTCATTTCACGGTCACCCCTTCCTTAGCGTTTTGTTTTAGTAAAGTCTGATTATATTAACCATCCCTACTTCTTATGCTATTCGATGTCGGAGTAAGATGGGTATGGATTTTAGACCAAATATTAGGCTTTGTGTAAAAAGCAAGAGGAATAATTGGGCCACCCCAATATCTAGTGGGCCCCATTTGCAACTATTTATATGATTTAAATATTTCCCTATTTAAAGAGGGTTACACATACATTTTTTTACCGATGTGGGACAAAAACACAATAGCTTTTGTAAACCCTTATTGGAAGTGTGATGAAAAATAACTAATACTTGTGTCTCTTTCATTTCGTAATAAGATGTGGAACAAAAATGCAGTGCTTTTGTATTGTAAACCCCTATTAGGGTACTAGTCTTGCCCTCTCTTACGAAAAGAAAGAAAAAGACAAAGAATATGCAAGTGACCTACCATCCTTCAACAAATAAAGAATAGTCATGAGTGTTAATATGTGTGTACAAAAAGCGACCACAAATATCTATCGCACTTATGAGGATTGGCCATTTGCAAGTGTAGTGAAGACCATGAATGTTGAGAGGACATAGTCAATTAGAAATCTTATGATGTAAAGATAAGAATTTGCATGCTCTCTATCACTTGGGTTACCACATATTTTCAATATAAGATGTAAAAAGTAATTTTATTGAATGGGCCATAGGTAGCCTTATTTGCATCAGGAAAGATAGAAAGAAAAACCAAATTTCTTAATGATAATACCTTTTAAGGTGTATTGCATTCCATAGGCGTACAATTATTCGCCCATCGACTTCGGCTAACCGGTAAGCTATTTTCCTTACCACCTCTATAATTCTATAAGGTCCGGTCCAATTGGGTTACAATTTCTTCACATGTGCCATTTCTTGCTTCGGCACCCAATCGCCTATTATAAAGCTTCTGAACCTGACTCGCTTGTTATAACTGTTACGCAACTGCTGTTGGTATGAAGCGAGTAGAATTGCCGCGGCATCCCTCTTCTCCTCCAAGAGGTCAAGGCTATGCTCTAGCTGTTTATCATTGTTTCCTTCGAGCAGCAAATGTGTCCGAAGAGTTGGAATTGCTGATTCTGTGGGGATGACGGCTTCTGACTGATAGGCCATTGCAAAGGGACTTTCCCTCATTAGTCGTCGTGGGGTGGTTCGGTATGTCCAAAGTACCTTAGGTAAATTCTCGTACCACTTTGATTTGAGCTGCTTCAACTTTTTCTTCAGACAGTTGAAGATGGTTCACTTAGTTATTTCAGCCTG